GGAGACACTCTGTCCTTTATAGGAGCTCAGGTGCTCAGCTTTTAGCTCCGATGTTCATTCAGAGCTGCTGGGCAGGTACGTTTAGGTCTTCTGCAGCAGAACTCATAAACTGCTTTTTATTCCCAGGTGCTCTGTCTCAGGGAGTTAGGGCTTTATTTATGAGTTTCTGTTGCACTCCTGCCTTTTTTTTTTTGAGGGCTGCCCTGCCCAGCGAGGAGGCAGCGTAGTCACTGTCTGCCTGCAGAGGCTTTGCTGAGCTGCTGTGGGCTCCGCCCAGCTACCATGTGAACTTCCCTGCAGTCCTGTTTATATGGGTGTAGTTAGAACTGCCTCGGCAATGGTGGCCCACGTCTGTATTGGCGGACTGTCTCTGTAATGGCAGGTTGCCTTGGCAACAGCAGGCTGCCTCAGCAATGGTGGCCTACCTCTGTAGTGGTGGAGTGCCTCGGTAATGGTGGATGCCCCTCCTCCACATAGCTGGACTGTCCCGGGTTCAGCTGTGCTTGCTGTGAAACTCTCAATCCAGAGAGTTTCTGATTGTTGTTCTTTTGTGGGGTTGGGACCAGCCGAGCCTAATCACCTGGCTCCCTGCCTCAGAGCCTTTTTTTTTTTTTTTTTTTTTTTTCAGTTGAACAGTCGACTCTCTCCCAGGTGTTCCAGTCACCTGTTGAAAAGACCCCAGGATCTGTGTGATTTCCCATGCAGAGACTCACTGTGCTGGCTTAAACAGCAGCACTGAGATTCATGGCGAGTTTTTTGCCTAGGAAAATCTCTTGGCCTGGCTTTCTGTTCAGTCCCCTTTTTAATCAGATGAATCAGCGACTTCCCAGGGCTCCAATTGCCAGCTTAAAGGGCACCCAGATCCGTGTATTTTGTATGGAGTACTGCCACACCGGGGCACCGGCAAAGCAGCCACGCTGGGCAAAGTAGCCGTACCAGCCAAAACAGCCATGCCCACCAAAACAGCTGCACCGGCCAAAAGAGCCATGCTGGTGAGCCATGGGGCTCCTTCTCCTGGGAATATCCTGGTCTGTCGGCAATAAAAATTTGTCTGGAATTGGGCATCCACTCACCCTCTGTGCGTTCACTGGGAGCTGCAATCCTGAGCTGTTCCTAAATGGCTATCTTGGATCTTCCTCTCATTTTTATTCTTTTAGTGATTTTTACACAGTATTTGAGTTATTTTCTTAGTGGCCACTCTAGGGCTTACAATATAGATCTTATCAGAATTGGCATCAGATTATAAACCCAATTTCAGTGAGATATAGAAATGCTATTCCTATTAGCTCTGTTCTCTCCTCTGTTCTCTCCTCTAATTTTTGCTTTTTCATTCTGCTATTTCGTTATGAATAGTATGTCTATATATGCTCTAAACACAGTAATACATTTATAGTATCACTTTATAGAATTTTGTGTCTTTTAAAGAAACTCAGAGAAGAGGCTGGGCATGGTGGCTCACACCTATAATCCTAGTACTTTGGGAGGCCAAGGTGGGCAGATCACTTGCGGTCAGAAGTTCAAAACTAGCCTGGCCAACATAGTGAATCCCTGTCTCTACTAAAAATACAAAAACAATTAGCTAGGCATAGTGGCAGGTGCCTACAATCCCAGCTACTTGGGAGGCTAAGGCAGGAGAATCACTTGAACCAAGGAGGTGGAGGTTGCAGTGAGCCACGATTTTGCCACTGCACTCCAGCCTGGGTGACAGAGTGAGACTTCATCTCAAAAAAAAAAAAGAAAAAAAAGAAAAGAAACCTAGAGAAGAAAGTATGTATCATGGTTTCTTATATTAACCACCTTACTTAGGTTTTGTGCTTCTCCTCATTTTTTTCTGTAGATTAGAGTTACCATATGGTCTCTGGATTGTCTATTCTCACACTGCTATGAAGAAATACCTGACACTGGGTAATTTATAAAGGAAAGAGGTTTAATTGACTCGTAGTTCAACAGGGCTAGGGAGACCTCCAGAAACTTAGAATCATGGTGGAAGGTACCTCTTCACAGGGTGGCAGGAGAGAGAAAGAAAGCTGAGTGAAGTGGGATGCCCATTACAAAACCATCCGATCTTGTGAGAACTTACTATCATGAGAATAGCATGGGGGAAACTGCCCCCATGATTCAGTTACCTCCCACTGGGTCCCTTCCACCACACATGGGGATTATGGGAACTACAATTCAAGATGAGATTGAGGTGGAGACACAGTCAAACCATATCAGTCTCATTTTCTTACTTCAAAATGGCTTTCTTTTCACCTACCTCTTGTGCTATTATTGTCAATTAGATTTCATTTCTATATGTCAGAGGCCCAACAATACAAATATGTATTCACGTGTGTGTGTGTGTGTGTGTGTGTGTGTGTATAGTTTTTTAAGAAGAAGAAATATATACTTTATTAATATTATCTTTTATAATCATGTAATTAATGTTACCAGTGCCCTTTGTTTTTCATCTGTATTCAAATTACTGTCTGGCATTACTTGCTTTTCAACCTGAAAGACTGTTTCTTAGTGACAAATTCTCTCAGCTCTTGTTTATCCAGGGATATCTTTATTTCACCTTCTCTGGATAATAGTTTTGGTAGATACTAGACTATTAGTAGACTATTATTTTTCTCTGATCACTTCGAATATGTTGTCTCACTGCCTTCTGGCCTTTATTATTTTTAATGAGAAGTCAGGTATTAATTTTAATCACCCTTATATGTTGCAAGTCATGTGTCTCTTACTACTTTCAAATTTTTCTTTGTCTTTTACCATTTTGTAAAGTATCTGGGTTGGATATCTTTCTTGATCCTGCCTATGGTTTTGGGGGCTTCTTGAATGTGTAGATTATTGTTTTTCATCAAAATTAGGGGGTTTTCAGCCATTCATTTAAAAATCTTTTTCTCTTTTTCTCCCCTATTCTTTTGGTAATCCCATTATGGGTATGTTAGTTAGTGAGCCTAATGGCATCCCATTTCTTACTGATGCTTTGTTTATTTTTCTTCTTTTTCATTCTGCTCTCATATTTCATAACATCTAGTGATCTATCTTCATTTTTGCTAATTGCTTCTTCTCCTAAGTCAAACCTAATGTCGATGCCCTCTAATCAGTTTTTAAATTTCAGTTATTGTCATTTTCAACTCCAGAATTTCCATCTGATTTTTATAATTTTTATATCTTTATTGAGATCATTTTTGATTAACAGTTTTTGTCATACTGTCTATAAGTGTGGTTTCATTTAGTTATTTGAACATACTTGAAATAGCTTATTTGAATTCTGTGTCCATTAAGTTTAACATCTGGGCCTTTTCAAAGTCAGTTTCTTTTACCTGCTTTTTTCCTATGTAGAGGTCACACTTTCTTGTCTTTTTGCATATCTTGTAATTTTCTGTTGAAAACTGGATGTTTTAGATAATACATTGTATCTTTGGATACTGATCTCCCCATGGGTTTTGTGGATGTTAATTTTTGCTTCTTTATTTGTTTAGTGAATTAGCTATGGGGAAATAGTGAAGTCTATTTTCCCCATAGTACATAGACTCTGATGTCACTTCTTGGAAGGCACTGTCTTTGCCGGTGAAGTCATGCTTAGCCCTCCCTCTGGTAATGGATGACAGTGATTTTAGGAGGATTCTTTATTACTCTTTACCTGATCTGACCTCTTAAGCTTCTAGGTGGCCTTCTTCTATTGGTAGCACATCCAGCTGTTAGTCTTTACTAATTGCTAGGTGATTACTGTCTCTCTCTCTCTCTCTGTGTGTGTGTGTGTGTGTGTGTGTGTGTGTGTGTGTGTGTGTGTGTGAAAATGCTCTTGTGCATAAATTGCCCTACAGCCGGTTCCAATTAAAATAAGTCCCTTTGAAGGAATAGGTACCTTGTTAGCTGTCTCATCACGTACTTCTCTCTATAAGCTTCTAGTTGGTCTATTATTTTTTTCTTAATATCATTGAACTACTAATCTCTTCTTAATTGCTCACTACCAAAATCTCCATGATTTTTTACAGTGTCCTTAGACTTGAACTTTCTTGGGCTCTATTTCCAATTAAAGTCATTTCCTTTAGAGAGTGCTGTAGAGCTCACTCTTCTAATTATCTCCCTCTCCCACTGGGCAGAAACAGAACCACTGTTTTCGAGCTAGGGGCATGGACAGTGACCCATTTCTGTCAGTGACAATCCAATTGTATGAGTGGAAGACTGGGCAAGTGTTGTCCCTGATATTCTTGGCTTTCTGCTCCTAGCATGGACACTCTATCCTATAAGCAGCTGAGATGAGAGCAACTGAGACCCAGTACCCTGAACTTGCAATGCCTAGGATAGAGCTTTGCCTTACAAATAGGGGCTGGGTAGAGAAAGAGAGCTCTAGGCATCTGAGCTATGCTTGTTTACAATAGAGGTTCTACAATACAGACCTGGGGCGATGAGAAGTGCCAGCAGTCTGGCCCTCCAGAGAATCCCTAGCCCAGAAACTGGAGGTAGAGAAAGTCCCATCTTCTTGGCCACACCCACCTAAAGTAGTGCTTACATCACACTGAGCTGGTGGATGGTGAGTGAATCATGGCTTAAGTGTCACAGGCTCTTACTGTTCTTACTAACAGGTAGTAGATTTCCTGAAATAAATGTTTCTTCATTTTCTCTATACCCTCAGGGTAATTTCCTGAGCCTTTACATGATTATGTTTTCTAATTTTCACTAGTTATGGTGATTGTTTTGCTGAGGAGAGAACCCTTGGAGTTCCTCACACAACCATTCTAGAAATGTTTCTCTTCTGTTCTAGATTGTTAAAGAAATTGGTAATGCTCAAAATTTTCTATTTAATCCTCATTTTTCTGGGACAATAAGGAAAGGTGCAAATAGAGGCTAATATTTCTATATAAACTTCAAAATGTTCAGTTTAAACTATCATTTTTCTATGATTTTATTTTTACCTGTTTTTAATGAAAATAATATGAGATTATATTAATTTGCTTACAGTTCTTTTTTGTTGAGACTAATTATTTTGTTGCATTGTTGCCAAACAGACCATGTTCCTGAGCCGTGCACTTGAGGAGATCCATAAATGCCATGAGATCTGGAATTTGCTGAAACAAGCAGGTACAGTGGGAACTGGAAGTTTGGTAACACGGTTTGAAAGGAGCTTAGAATCTGAATAAACAAGTCTTTAGTCACCAGAAATTTGTGCCACTGCAGTACTTGATAACCAGTCAAATGTTTTTTGTTGTTGTTTTTCTGAGACAGGGTCTCACTGTGTCACCCAGGCTGGAGTGCAGTGACATCACCTTGGCTCACTGCAACCTCTGCCTCCTGGGTTCAAGCAATTCCCCCACCCCAGCCTCCTGAGTAGCTGAGAGTACAGGCATTCACCACAACACTTGCCTAAATTTTTGTATTTTTTGGTAGAGATAGGGTTTCACCATATTGGCCAGGTTGGTTTCAAACTCCTGACCTCAGGTGATCTGCCCACCTCGGCCTCCCAAAGTATTACAGGTGTCAGCTACCACCCCTGGCTCAAATGATCCTTTAAGAACTAATTTTTCCCCACTCTATCAGTATTGACTCCATAACACACTATTTAGAATAAGAATATTTTTTACTTTGCTTTATATGAAAGTATAGCATTAAATATTTTATTATTGCTTAACATAATATTATTAATCTTAGATCACTAAATTTAATGTCTAATTTAATCAAGCTTTAAGTTTAACTGAATGTAGGCTAGTCTTCCAAATCACAATCAAGATATCAGATACTGCTAATATTTTGTTGTAAAATTATCTAAATAGGCCAGGTGCAGTGGCTTATGCCTGTAATCCCAGCACTTTGGGAGGCTGAGGCAGGCAGATTACCTGAGGTCAGGAGTTTGAAACCAGCCTGACCAACATGGAAAAACCCTGTCTCTACTGAAAATGCAAAATTAGCTGGGCATAGTGGCGCATGCCTGTAATCACAGCTACTCAGGAGGCTGAGGCAGGAGAATCACTTGAACCCCGGAGGTGGAGGTTGCGGTGAGCCGAGATGGTGCCATCGCACTCTAGCCTGGGCAACAAGAGCGAAACTCCGTCTCAAAATAAATAAATAAATAAAAATAAAATAATCTAAAATCTAAATAGTAGTAAGCCTTTGGAAGTTATATAATATCTTGATACTGTTTCCTCATTAAATGTGGTATTGGCTTTTAGGTTTAGACTGAAACTTTTACAGTGTGTTTTTCTGTCCCTGTTTCAGAATTTGTTAAAATCAATGGATATTCAATTCAAATGTGCTTTTTCAGACTTTATGGAGATAATCATATTTTCCCTTTTGAACTATTAATATATTGAATTATAATAATATATTTTATAAAATTAAGTCATTTCATTTCTGGAATAAACCCTATTTGGTCATGGTATGATAATTTAATATGTTGATGAATTCGGTTTTCCAACATTTAGAAATGATTGGTCTATCACTTTGTTTTTGCTATGTATTATGTCTTTGACAGTTTTGGTATAAAATTATAGGAATTATAAGGAAGAACATAAACACATAAAATTTAATTTACTTCTCTTAGTCTATGATAGTCACTTAAATGAATAAAAACAACAAAAAGTAGGGATAGAGAAAACCTAAATAAAATATTTATTATAGAAGATTTAATGGATATAAACTCTATAGCCTGAAAATATACTGTGTATCGTGAGAACAGAAAATATATTATCTTTTCATGTGCCTTTTAAATTTTTACAAAATTGATGTCAAGGAAGACCTGAATAAATTCCAAGACATGTAAATAAAACAGACAACATCATCTGATCACAATGCAAAAACTAGAAATTAATAATGGAATTTTTCTTTGAAAAACCCTACCAACTGGAAATTTTTTAAAAACCCATGCTACAATATATCTAGGATCTAATGATAATGAAAATAACTCATAGTAGGGCTAGGCGTGGTGGCTCATGCCTGCAATCCCAGCACTTTGGGAGGCTGAGGTGGGCGAATCACCTGAGGTCAGGATTTCAGACCAGCCTGGCCAACATGGTGAAACCCTGTCTACTAAAAGTACAAAAGTAGCTGGGCATGGTGGTGCATGCCTGTAATTCCAGCTATTCAGGAGGCTGAGGTAGGAGAATTGCTTGAACCCAAGAGGCAGAGGTTGCAGTAAGCCAAGATCACGCCATTGCACTCCAGCCTGGGCAACAAGAGCAAAACTCTGTCTAAAAAAAAGAAAAACCTCACACTAGAATTTAAAGTGCTGAAGTAGTGCTCAGAGTAAAGTTCATTGCCTCAGTGACTTTTCCTTAAACAAGCATATCAAGACCGCAGTGGCTCACGCCTGTAATCCCAACACTTTGGGAGGCCAAGGTGGGCAGATCACATGAGACCAGGAGTTCAAGACCACCCTACCAACATGACAAAACCGTGACTCTACTAAAAATACAAAAACTAGCCAAACGTGGTGGCATGTGCCCGTAATCCCAGCTACTCAGGAGCATGAGACGAGAATTGCTTGAACCCCAGAAGTAGAGTTTGCAGTGTGCCAAGATTGTGCCACTGCACTCCACCCTGGGCAACAGAGCAAGACTCTGTTTCCAAAAATAAACATAAAAAATAAAAAAGTATGTCAGAATGCTGTCTACCAAAAAAATGAATTTCTTCTTTTTTCAGAATACAACTAGACTGTAGATGGAATAGATAGAGAGATATAGTGAGATAGAGGTAAAAGTTTCTCTCTCTCTCTCTCTCTCTCTCTCTCTCTATATATATATATATATATATATATATATATATAAAGTCTAAGTATATTTTTAAATATACACACAGCTAGACTATATACAGAGAGATATATCTGTGTATCTATATATTCTATATATAGACTTCAGGCAATCTTCAGATTTTTTTTTTAACTGTCTATACATTATAGAGATTTAATGGCTGTAGTTAAGGTGACCAATATCAGAATGAAGGAAGGTAAAATTCTTTAATGGAGAACAGTACATTTCATGAAAGTTTTGTGGTAAAATATATATAACATAAAATGTGCTATTTTAACTATTTTTAAGTGTACAACCATAACTACTATCTATTTTCAAAATTTTTTCATCATCCTAAATAAAAACTCTGTACCCACTAAAGAATAACTTCCTGATTTCCCCTTTCTCCAGCCCCTGGTAACCTCTCATATGCTTACTGCCTCTATGAATTTGCATATTCTAGATTTCTTTTTCTTTTCTTTTTTTTTTTTTTTTTTTGAGTTGGGGTTTTGCTCTATTGCTTAAGATGGAGTGCAGTGGCAAATCATAGCTCACTGCAGCCTTCAACCCTGCGCTCTAGCTGTCCTCTCACCTCGACCTCCTTAAGTGCTGGGATTACAATTGTGAACCACCATGCCCAGCCCTAGATATTTCCTTTAAGTGAATCATACAATATTTGTAACTGGCTTATTTCACTTAGCATAATGTATTCACGATTCATCCCTGCCATAGGATGTGTCAAAATTTCCTTCCATTACATGATGTATTAGTCCATTTTCATACTGATATAAAGAACTGCTTGAGACTGGGTAATTTATAAAAGAAAGAGTTTTAATTGACTCACAAGTCAGCATGGCTGGGGAGGCCTCAGGAGACTTATAATCATGGCAGAAGGCAAAGGAGAAGCAAGGCACCTTCTTCACAAGGTAACAGGAAGGAAGTGCTGAGTAAAGGAGAAGAGCCCCTTATAAAACCATCAGATCTCATGAGAACTGACTGTCATAAGAAGGGCATGAGGGAATTGTCCTCCTGATTCAATCACCTTTAACTAGTCTCTCCCTTGACACATGGAGATTATGGGGATTACAATTCAAGATGAGATTTGGGAGGGGACACAAAGCCTAATCATATCATTCCATCCCAGACCTTCCCAAATCTCATGTACCTTTCACATTTTAAAACCAATCATGCCATCCCATAGTCCCCCAAAGTCTTAATTCATTCCAGCATTAACCCATATGTCCATGTTCAAAGTCTCATCTGAGACAAGGCAAGTCCCTTCCACCAGTGAACCTGTAAAAGCAAAAGCAAGTTAGTTACCTCCTAGATGAAATGAGGGTACAGATATTGGGTAAGTATACCCATTCCAAATAGGAGAAATTGGTCAAAACAAAGGGGCTGCAGGCCCCATGCAAGTCTGAAATCCAGCAGGGCATCAAACCTTAAAGCTCCAAAATGATCTCCTTTGACTCCATGTCTCACACCCAGGTCATGCTGATGCAAGAGGTGGGTTTCCATTGTCTTGGGCAGCTCTGCCCCTATGGCTTTGTAGGGTACAGTCCTGCTCCTGATTGCTTTCACAGGCTGGCGTTCAGTGTCTGTGGCTTTTCTGTGTGCACAGTGCAAGTTGTCAGTGGATCTACCATTCTGGGGTCTAGAGAATGGTCACCCTCACAGCTCCACTAGGCAGTGCCCCAGTGGGGACTCTGTGGGTGCTCCAACCCCACATTTCCCTTTCTCACTGCCCTAGCAGAGTTTCTACATGAGGACTCCACCCCTGCAACAAACTTCTCAATGGACACCTATTCATTTCCATACATCCTCTGAAATCCAGGTAGAAGTCCCCAAACCTCAATTTTTGACTTCTGTGCACCTATAGGCACAAATACCACATGGAAGCCACCAAGGCTTGGGGCTTGCACCTCTGAAGCAATGGCCTGAGCTGTATGGTGACCCCTTTTAGTCATGGCTGGGATGTGGCTAAGTCACAGTCCCAAGACTGCACAAAGCAGTGAAGCCCTGGTCCTGGCCCAGGAAACCATTTTTACTTCCTAGGCCTCTGGACCTGTGATGGGAGGAGCTGCCTTGAAGGTCTCTCTGACATGCCCTGGAGACATTTTTCCTATTGTCTTTGTGATTAACATTTGTCTCCTCTTTACTAATGTAAATTTCTGCAGCCAGCTTGGAATTTCTCCCCAGAAAATGGGTTTTTCTTTTCAGTCACATTGTCAGGCTGAAAATTTTCCAAACTTTTATGCTCTGCTTCTGTTTTCAACATAAGTTCCAATTTCAGATCATCTCTCTCAAGTTCATAACTCCACAGATCTCTAGGGCAGAGGCAAAATGCCACCAGTCTCTTTG